ACAACATTTATCCATTATTTTGATTTCAAATCCAAACATTGTCACTGAAAGTGCTTTTTCAGCATTGCAAATCTTTTTTTTACACAGTACAGTAATACAATCTATTATTATTGTTTGTGTGTGTGTGCTGCGAGTGTGCATGTGCTCAGTCTCCAGGAGAGCACGCGAACACTGGCCAAGAGTTAAAAAGTAATGCAATTTATAAACTTTAGTGACGATGTGACACTGCCTTGATTGTGCAAGTGACGATTCCTGTGTTAACTGTGCAGCGTGCAGCTCGCTTATAGACAGACGCGATGTGTGGTGATTCGAAGCCATTTGCGTATTTTGAGAGAGAGTGCGCGCGGTGATACACTCACGCTGTTTGTACGCCTCACACAAGGTTTACAAATTACTTTTTAGGTTATAAATAAAGTTATTTAATAACACACATTAAATAAAGAAATATGAAGACTGAGACGGTGCCACTGCATGTCGTGCCAAACCTCTCACAGCTGCGTCATCAGCATGAGATCTGTTTATGAGATCGTTCTTTATAGAGACCGCCGATCGATCATCCCAAAGCGATTATCGGCCGATAGTGATCGGTAGCTGATCAATCGGAGCACCCCTAATGGAAATATAGCTAATGTTGGGTTAGCATTAGCATTGGGTTTGTATTAGCGTTGGGTCAGCGTTAGCGTGAGGTTAGCAGTAAGTGTTGAGGTTCGTGCTGAGGTGTTGTGCCTGTGTTGCAGAGCTTTAATTACTGTTGGAAAGTGAAACAGTGATTTCCTTTTCCTGTTTTTGTCCTCCCAGCTGATCCCACATTCCCTCAGAACACACGCCGAGTGTCCGAGCCGTCCATCCACACAAACACAGTGTTTCATTCTTCTGAACCACTCCAGTGAATCAGCTCGTATTATGTTCCTGTTATTGATGGAAGTTGTTGTTGTGGCTGAATGTGTTTTTATCCAGCACTGTCTCACACTGATGACAGCTCTCTCTGTGTGTGTGTGTGTGTGTGTTGCAGGTGCTGTTAGTGTTTGCCAAAGACGATGCTCAGAGTCACAGCTTCTGCTGGGCGTGTGAACGCGCTGGTTTCAGGTGTAATGTGGCCCGAACGCCAGAAGCGGCGCTGGAGAGCTTTCAGGAGAAGAACCACGATCTGATCATCATCGATCACAGACATTCCAGATACTTCGACGCTGAAGCGCTCTGTCGGTACGTGTCGGAGTTTGGGGCTCATTCCACCACAGAGGAACAGAGAGGGTGAAGGGTCTGGAAACTGATCAAGACATTGACCTTCAAACCTAATGAAGCTGCATGCACTGTGAAATAAATGGTTTATTTGAAGTGCAAAGTTTAAATGTGACTCAAAACCGTCGGATCAGTTGTAATGTT